GTTCGGTCGTGTGGGCGCTGCGCTCCCGGTACCGCCGCTGCACCTGCCCGGGGACCCCGCCGGCCCCTCGGTGCCCCCCTTTCCCGCCACTGCTCCGGCCCCTTTAGTCCACGCCGTCCTGCGCCGTCTCGGCCCCAGTCTCCCACGGATCTGCAGCTTGAGGGAACCGAATCCTGCCCGAAGGAACCGCCCCTTCTCCGCCCGCTTGCCCGGCTGTGTGCCTAGTGCGGCCCGCGAAGCCCGCTGAAAGGACCGTAGTGTGGATCGGATCGCGTCTCTCTGCTGCCACCACCCCCTGAATTCGTCGCCGGCCGGGATGGGCCGCCGAGTCAGGCCCTTGCGCGCCTGATGAGCACGGTTGCAGCCCCGGAGACCCCTGCTAGCCCCTGCGTGCGTGGGGCCTCACCCGGCTGCACCCCCTGCTCCCTGAGCACCCAGCTCTGCGGACTGAGGCCACTGGGCCCGGCCGTTGAAGGCGCGGCTGCTCCCGAGAGGCCGAAGGGGAACGGCCCCGAGATGGCCCGGAGAGCCGGCGTTTTGGCGGCGGGCGTCCTACACGTTGTCCGCGCCTGGGGACAGCCACTGAGCTGGTAGCTGTCCGGGCGCTGGATGGACCTTGACCCGCGAGGCGGTGAAGCTTTCGTGTCGAACCAAGGCTAGAGGGTCGCGGGCAAGAGCGCGCTGGGGTAGAGTGTCCTGAGTCCCAAGCCCACCGGTTCACGCGGCCATGAAGATGATCCTGGTGCGCAGGTTCCGCGTGCTCATCCTGATGGTGTTCCTGGTGGCCTGCGCCTTGCACATAGTGCTGGACCTGCTGCCCAAGCTGGAGCGGCGTGCCGCGAGGCCCCCCGGAGAGCCCGGCTGCTCGTGCTCCCAGCCCGCGGCCGAGGCAGCGGCGCCTGGTTGGGCCAAGGCGCGGGGCCGCCCCGGGGAACCTCCGGCCGCCGCCTCTGCAGCGGGCGAAGCAGGCTGGCCCAACAAACACACGCTACGCATCCTGCAGGACTTTAGCTCCGACCCTTCCTCCAACCTCACGTCCCACTCGCTGGAGAAACTGCCGCCCGCAGCCGAGCCGGCCGAGCGTGCTTTGCGGGGTCAGGATCCCGGCGCCCCGCGACCCCGCGACCCCGCGCACCGGCCGCTGCTCCGAGACCTCGGCTCCCGTCGGTCGGCACCGCCCCCTGGCCCGAGCATAGAGGGCTCGCTCTTAGCCAGGCTGTTCGAACACCCGCTCTACCGGGTCTCCGCTCCACAGCTAACAGAGGACGATGTCCTGTTTAACGTGAACAGCGACATGAGGTTCAACCCCAAGGCAGCGGAGAACCCGGACTGGTGAGTGGGGACTGGAAGGTGGGGACGGCCCCGAGATGGCCAGGTGGCGACAGCCCCAGACGCAGGGATCCCTAGAGGCTGAGGACCTCATGGAAGAGGCTGGGGGTTGGAGTGCCTTGTGGGGTGGGGCAGCATGCCGCCTGCACTCTGAGCACTGCCTTTGTCTCCAGAATGACTTCTTCCTTGAGAAGGGCTGCCTGGTGGTTTGGGAGCTGGATCCGCTGGTGTGGAGGGCTGGCTGGACACCTGGAACCAGGGGTGTATGGGCTCCGTTTACAAGGAAGGGTGCCAGCCAGCTCTGAGCACTGGCTGGGGTCATGGAACCCGGCAGTGAATGAATGAGTTGGTGGTTAGTGAAAAGGCACCTTCCCCCAGGAAGATACTGGACTGCCTGGTTTTCAGGTACTTGGGACATTACTCTGGATGGATACCTTCGTTTCTTGATGTGCCTAATGAGTCTTTTAAAACCAGTTACTGGGAACAAAATTCGCAGATTGTGCTGGCAGCAATGAGGCACAACAAAGGGGCCCTCCCAGCAAGGGTGTGGACAGCAGCTGGCCTCTAAAAGGTGCCATCTGCAAATGGGTGATGACTTTATAAAAGGCAAGAAGCCAGCCCAGAGACATTTTTTAAAAACCGTCTTGGCTTAAACCCTTCCCCCTAAGCCTTTCCCTCAGTCCCATGGATCAAAATAAGCAGATGCTTCACCCAGGAGTAGTGAAATATTAACTACCAGCAAGGCTAGAATAAATACCTGCAAAAGGTTGCCCAAGCAACAGAGGGGAAAGGCCAGGCTTCCAAAACATCCATGAAAATCCTTTCTCCCTGAAATCTGACCAGGCCCAGTGTTTTCTGTCTGAACAGACTGGGCTGTTTGGTAACCTCCAAGCTTTGTCTGCTGACCAGGTTCAAGGAAGTGCTCAGAAACTGGAGTCAGAGCAGTGGCCCTGGGCCTGCGACTCTCTGGGCAGTCCAGAGTGACCAAGCAGTGGGGGAGCTGGCTCCTGGGAGACTTCCAGCCCAACCCTCATGCCTGCTTTAGCACAGAACGTAGGACTGAAAGGGCCTCTCCTGCAGGTGAATCAGAGCTAAGAGTTCTGCTTGTCCCCTTAGCTCAGCAGAGTCTGTCCCTCCTCCAGACCAGCCCTTGACCCCAGGGATATAAGGACAGAGTACGTGGGCAGCAGGTCCTCAATTTAAGCCTGGTTGGACTGAGTGGCTGCCTTTTTCCTTTCTCCCCACCTAAGACTGCTCTCATTAAATCAAATTTAGCCTCTTGCATCATTCCTACCCCTGGTTGTTGAAACAAAAGCAGAGCCCAGGGAGGGTTTCTGACAGATTGGGCGTGCCTGTGATGTTCATGCAGTCTGTGGTCAAAGATAGGTTCTCTCCTCTGCTCCCAGGAAGGGCCTTCTCGCACCCTACGTTGACATCATACTTGTCAGGGAGTTTTGGTGACCCCGGGACAGACAGGGCGGATAGTGCTGACGCTCTGGGTTTAGTCTTGTTGTAGTTATAGCTGTCTGTGGCGTCTCCTGAGGGTAAATAAGAATTACAGGCCTTTAGATGTGTTATTAGTTGGTAGAACAACAGCCACAAAAGAAAGTGCAGACGGTGCAGGGGCTTCTTTGAGGAGAGGCACCTTTCAATAGCTCTGCATTTACTTGAACTCAGAGTTAACAACCTTGATGGCCAGGGTCATCTCCCCTTGTTTATCTCCTCTGTTCTTTTTCTGTTGACTTTGGATCATGTTCATTTTCTGTAGGCCACATGAAGGTGCTGAAGGTGAAGAATTCCCACCCACTGGGGAGGCAGCAGTGGACTCCTATCCCAACTGGCTCAAATTCCACATTGGCATTAACCGATATGAGCTATACTCTAGACACAACCCAGCAATCGAAGCTCTGCTGCATGACCTCAGCTCTCAGAAGATAACCAGTGTTGGTAGGTGCCCTTGGTGTGCTTCCCATGGTCATTGGTATGCTGGCTCGAGATGGTGTCAGGGCTGCTTAGGGCTGGTTTTCTTTATAGCGATCTGGGAAGCTGTTGCTCATTACTGGAGCATTACCTCCTGGGGCGATTTGCACAGGCTGAGGCGCCTGCATGGCCTCTGAAGGGAGGGATGGATGACTTAGATGCTCTCAGCTGTAGATGTGCTGCTGTTCTGTTGCAAGATGAGTGAGCAAGAAAAACCACAGCAGTTTTCTTACTGCACTGTGCTTCCTTACCTGAGTGGTCCTCAGGAGAACACCAAGTAGACCCCAGGTCCTCCCCTTCACAAGGAAACACATAGAGGGGCCACGGCCCCTTTCTCAAGAGTCTCATGCACTTGAGTCTTATGCACTCATTCTGCTTTTCTGCACACACCCCCAGCATGGTAGAGAGACACAGCTGAGAACTGAGGAGGCTGCTGATTCTGAACAGCTCTCCATCAGGGCTTGCGGAGAGGCTCGTGCATATTTATATTGATGGGAAGGAACCAGGTCTCCCTTCCGTCTAAGATGGAGACCCAAATGTCCAGGATGGAGCAGTTTGAAGGTGATGTCTCCAAATACTTTGTGATCTGCTGAATCAGACAAAAAAGTGCATCCATTTGCTAATTTAAGGAAACAGGTTGGCCCTTTGTGAATGCAGGTTTGGTGCCTTTGTCCTGGGCCTGTGGGTGATCTCTGCAAAGGTCCTTATGAATCACTGTGGCTCAGAGCAGTGGGCACTGGGCTGAGGCCCTGGAATGAGAAGAATTGCTCCTTGGGCTTTGCAAGAAGCTGCCTTGGATGCCCACAGCTGTGGGTGGGTAAAGAAGGCCTGAGAGAGCCCAAGGGCAGGCCTCTGCACATACATGTCATGGGCTAAGAATTCCAGGCACTATCTTTACATGTGTCTCACAAGCAGCTCTGGTGCTAACAGGGTCTAGTGACCTGGGTTCTATCTAGTTGCTGAAGTAGGGGAGTGGGTGTTACCTGTCAAGGCAAACAGATGAATTCTCTGGAGCTCTGTAAAGATGTTTCCTGCTTCCTCTGCCTGGGTGCCAAGTTATTTGCAGGGTACTCACCTGCCCTGGGAAAGTAGGAGTCAGAGCCTGCTCTCCACTATGTGATCAGTCCATCTTGAGAGCTGACTGGAGCAAACTGGTAGTCTGCTTTTCTCCTCACCTGCTGCCCAGGAGGAATCTGAATGCTTTTCCCCGTCCTAGGCCTTCGTGAATATCTCTTCCCTCTGCTCCCTTTGCAGGAGCCCATGGTGTCATGGGCTGTGCTGGGGAACAGTCATAGTCATAGTCACATGCGGTGTCCTTTTTGCTCCCAAGAATAGGGACAGCTGTTAAAAAAACTATCCAGAGCTTTGACCAACTCATTCATCCCCTCAGCAGATTTTACTGGGCACCTCCTGCAATTCAGCCTCCTTTCTGGGTAGTAGGGAGTTGAAGATGTATCTAGCCTCCACAAGGTCTGTTTCTTCCATGGATCTGACAGTCCCAGGAGTACAGGAGTTGCACCTGTGACAGGCTGACACCTAAGAAAGATGAATGCTTTCAGGCCGCAAAGTCATGCCCAGGAGCTTTTAAAGCATGTCTCCCCTGGGAGAAGAGTGAAGAGATCCTTCTGCAAGAAAGCTTCTGTTGTAGAGGGTGGGAAATGAGAACAGCATTTCACACTTAGAAAGGATCTTAAGGGAGTACAGTGCTCATGCTGAAGAGTCTCCTCTGTTGCTCTCCTTGTGAACTTCTCTTCAGCTCAGTTTCCTCATCTGTCAAAAGGGGCCAGGCCTACTAAGGAATATTGCAAGGACGGAATGATGTGGTGAATATGAGCAAGCATGTGAAGTGTTAACTACTGCTTTGTTTCTGGGCTGCATAGATTCCACAGGCTGGCCAAGCCCTTGGTGGGACTGTTCACTCTGTCTCCCAGGGACCATCCATCTCCCAGACTCACTGGACACCACTATGAGCAGAGGTGTGGGGAATTCTGCACCCAGGAGTTTCAGAGAGCTGCTATAGGGGGAAGGTCTCCAGGCAGCTTCACCTACCATAGGGGTCCCCCATCCATCCTGATAGACCTGGCCTTGGGACATCCTATGCTCTTAAGGTTACCCATCCCAGGACAATGGTACCTAGGTTGACTGACATCATAGGGAGGTGGACAGAGCCTGTAGTCAGGGCATCTCTAACCTTTCTGGGCCTTGGCCTGGCCGTGGGCCCTGAGGTAAGTCCTGTATCTCTCTGACTACTGAGGGGCTACCTAACTGATCTCACTCGTCCTCTGGACAAGGCTGGCTGAGCTGGCTCTATCTGGTATTCTTGGGAGCAGGGCCCATCCGAGGCCAGTCACTCTGCAGGTGCCGCCAGGTGTTGGCACATGGATTGCCAAATAGAGTCTCAGCACTGAGGTGGGACTACAGGTCTGGGTGTGAATCCTGTCTCTGTCAGTCTAGCCAGGGTGGTTTTGAGCAAACAGATTAACCTTCTAGTGCCTATGGTTTCTCCCCTGGAACACAGGGGTGGTTATCATCTAAATCCTATAACCTCCAACTCGCAAACCTATAATCCAGATCTGAATCTGAACTTATTTGGGGACAAAAACTAAATGGCCAAAGTGAGTAATAAATCCCATTTTTCTCTTTTAGAGTGAAGGTTAACATAGTCCTCTGAGGTACAGACTGTGTTTGATCATGGGGTTTTGCCCAGGCCCACACGGGGTCTTATGTGATACACACCATGTATGCACTACATGTGCTTTTGGTCACTTGAAACATTCAGAATTGCCAAACACTCTGTCCTCAGCATTTGTGAAGACCACTGACCTGTGATGTCTGCTTCACAGGGTGGTTGAGAGGCTGCAGTGGGTAAGTAGGAGTAAGGTGAACGCACAGTGGGGCAGCACACCTGCTGAGCAGGGCTTTGTGGGGAGCAGCTCTGCAGTGCAGGCCAAGGCTCCTCCTTCAGGGAAGCCCTCGCCTTGTTAGGGCCTCAGCCTCAGTGCTGGGATACTGTCCCTGCTGCCCGAGATTTGGAGATGCTCCTGGGTGAGCCCACAGTTCCTGAGGAGGCAGGAGACTCTCACCTGCAAGGTGAGCAGCTGTAGGAGTTACTCCAGGTATCAGGCCCATGTCCAGGGCCTGCAGAGAGTGGCACAGAGGGGCTATCCAGACCAAGCTGCCGTGTCTCCAGAGAACGTGTACAGCATTAAGCGAATTGGTTGGAAAGCGAGAAGTGGTTGTACTCTCCTCTAGCATCTGCCCCCTCGCCGTCCTCATTTCTCAGCCTGGCTGACCTAAGAACTGCAGCTGCTCTGGGGGCAGCTACTCTAAGGGCTCTTGTGAGGATGAACGTTCAGCTGGAAGTTTCAGTGAGAACCCAGTGGCTTGAGTGGGATAGCAACCCTCAGCTAGGTCTGTGGCGTGGGCGAGGAGGGTGTGGCAGTTGTGAAGGCTGGGGCTCCTGAGCAGGGGCTGTCTGCTGCCTGGCGGCCTTGGCACTGCTGTGACCCAGAACAGGGTGGAGCCTTTGAACCTCCATTCAACAATGAGGGCAACTAAAGCCTCCCAGAACAAGACACTTGTCCAAGGTGAGCCCCTCCTTGCTTTCAGCTCAGGGTTTTGTCCTCTCAGCCATCTGGACCCCTGGGGGGGGGGTTACTTTAATCTTCAAGTTATTCCTCTCACTATTATATGTTAGTCCAGAAATATTGTTGTCATGGAGAACGATGCTTGCAAGGTTCCTGAAGCCTTCTCTCAGAATGGTTCCATTAAATCTCCCCTGTTCGAACCACTTGATCCAATTCATGGAGCTCCGTGTGGCCTATAGTACAGCTGGTTACGGCTAGCAGAGATTTATTTATAGCTAGGCTCCTGGCTGCCTGGTAACCGGCTGTTGCCGCCTTTAAAGAGGCTTGGGATATTATCTACCTCTATACAGCTTGAAATCAGGCATGCAGCGCCTTCGGCTTGGGCCAGTGATAATTAAATCGCTATCATGCACAATTATGGATGCAAAGAATAAATGACACAATTAACTACTCTCTACTTGGAATTACTTTTAAAAAAAGAAGAAGTCACACTGGCATGTGGGGATTCTGGCAGCCTCTGGCCTAAAAAACAGACTTCACATGGCTCCATCCAGATCGGGACAAAGCCGGTGGTCGGGAGAACGTGTCTGAACAAAGGAAACTGACTCCGTGGGACAGAAGTCCTCAGCACTAATTGATCTGCCAAAAAAGGAAGAATGAATCCAGCTAGAATCTGGGACTAATTGGCGAGTGAGCTTCAAGGAACAAAAGGCTTTCAGCTGGGGCAGCCCACGTGAGGAGCTGCCTGTGGGTACCTGGGGGTGGGGGACATGGCAGCCCTTCTTGATTAGGGGGCGGGGCTCCTCAGAAGGCTTGGCCTTCTTTCCCACCCTTGGTGGCTGCTACCACTGCAAGCAAGCTCAGCGGACCCAGAAAGCGAGAACAGAAGATGCCCAGTCAGTCAGCTGCCCGGGGCCTAGTGTGGGAGGGGCCTTAGGTCATCCCAAAAGAAGGACAACAGCCACACACAAAGGACAATTTTAGGTGGTGCATGGCAGAGGTGGCAGCTCAGGCCCAGGTCAACCCTCTTTCCAGCCATGTAATGGAAGATCAGGAAGCAAAGCGTCAGCCCCAGCACCTGTCTTCTCTGCATTGAACAGAGACAGCAGCTGCAGCTGCAGTCACACATAGCTGTGGTGTCATGCATTTGGTATTTTTTAAATCTCGGGGATGCCGTGATCCAGCAGGGCCGGCAAGGCCTTGATGCAGTCAAGAGAACTATAGCTGAGCTTAAAGGAACCAACGGGGGTGGATGCCAATTGTGCGCTCATCAACATTCCTTCTAATTGCAGGGAGGGATACGTTTTCCAGCATGGCAAAGCTGTAGTTTCCCTTTTAAGTAAATACAACTTTCAAAATAAATGTGAGCTGCTTTAAAGA